ACAGTGAGGTTTGGTTGATGAAACCAGCTTTTATGGCCAATAAATACTAATGCCAAACAAACACTTATTTAAAAAAGGGGGCTGAGCAAAGCAATTGAGAAATAATGGAATAATACCAAATGACAATGATTACATTAGTTTCTGAAAGTCTCATTCAATGTCCTGATCCCTTTGAAAGGTTTAACATCACGAGTAATCATCTTGCATTCCTGGAAGCAAAAAGTGTCAATTACTTGTCCCCTTAGAAATCTGCTTTTCTACCATTGGGCAAAACAGTTCTCCTTGCTTAATTGAACCAGGTAACTAAGCACAGATATTGTTTAATTTTCCATTGTGGATGCTTATAAAAAATGTAATTGGAATGTAATACAAATGCGCCAGTTACTAATTGGTAAGTGTAAACAGCACTATATTCGATGATCAGATATTCCTGTTTTGGCAACTACTATTTTTTCTGATAGCCTTGGTAATGCAAGTGTAAACAACAAATTAGACGATTAGATTAGATTCAACTTTATTGTCATTACACATGTACAAGTAAAATGCAACGAAATTCAGTTTAGGTCTAACCAGCAGTACAATAGCAGCAAGTGCAGGATACAGGTATAAGTTATAAAGTGCAGTTAAAGAAAAACTATGGTGATATTTACAGATGGATGTACCATCAACATTATGACTAGATATTTCTGTTTTGAGAAAATATTTTTGTTGAGATATTTACTATTTTAATAATAAACAAACAAATAGCACCCTTATGCATAGCCAGCTATGGAGAATATGTCAGCCAAGCAATGTCATGTGAGCACATGCACCTTCACTCGTCTTGCCATGTCTAGAATTGCAGACAGATTCAAGATATGTATTTTCCAACAAAAAAATAATTATCGGTTTCCAAATACAAAGTATCTGCAAAAGCTCCAAATTGGCGCATCATTAACTTTAACATTAGATGTTACATGAAAAGGATGATTGCATTTTTGGCTTTTTTGACAGCTGTTTTTGAGGAAAAATGTTATTTTTATTGTGTTTTTGCAATACTTCACACACAGAGACACACACATACACACATTGTGGTCTCAAGTGGAACATATCTGTTGGGACTTTCCCCTATACAATTTGTATCAAACCAGCACACACTTCACATACAATAAATGCAAAGAGCTGGGTGAAACTAAAATAGCTTCCTAAATCAACATCGAGGAGAGACGCACCGGGGAACCATTGAGTGCTTCACCACAATGAGGAGACTCTCAGACCTGGAGAGTGAGATATAGAGTGAAGCTTTCTAAAGAGGTGTTGAGTAACACTACGACTGTGAGAAAAGCCCTTCATTAATCATGAGGGTGGTGGTAGCTATCAGGCTAACGGCTATGTCTCCCCCTCACGTTTTAAAGAACACAGTATCTGGATGGAAGAGCGAAGAGAGCTGGATTGCGCAGACAAGGCCAGGGATTCCTCTGTCGTGAACCCAAAAGCCGGGGTTCAGATTCCACACTCCCTCCTGTCAGGGGTAATTTAGAAGGAAAAACAGGAGGAGAAGATGAAGAGGTTTGAATTGCTGCTCCCCCTTGCAGACAGCCTGTCAAACATGTTCTGCAGACAATGAGACCACCACCATCCCCCTCTCAACACTTGCACAAACTGCATACACAAGCACACACACAGACAACGGCCAAAAGCGCAAGCATTCCTCTCCACGCTGACACTCCCATGTGAGGGGCTATGCAGGACAAACTGGGTTCAACTGAATGGTGATCATTTTATCAGTGGTTCATATTCCTACCCCACACCCAACACTAAACCACGGTCAGATGGTTGAATTTAAATGACTGGCATCTACATCAATCGGTTTCCAAGTAGATTTTTGAGAGATGCACACTATAGGTTATTAGCCAATGTAAGAGTTAAAGGTTCAGTTCTGTGTGTTTAATTGTGTAAGCTTATTTCTCCTATTGTATCCTTCAGATTACCTTTGGTCGGTGTTAATCTCATTAATAAAATAAGGATGAAATTATGTTCATTGCCTATAGCTTGAAATAAACAGAAGCTTAACAGGTTTGCTGTGCTAGTAACGCGACTGAAAACCATGAATGCGGGTGCTCTGATCTGCTCATCAAATGAATGAACAGTGGAATCCGAGACAGAGAAAGACATCGCTAATTTGAAGTTGATGAATTATCATGTTGTAAATCCAGCAGCTCTGATCTCTCCAGTCTCCACTAAAGTGCAGATTAACATGGTGGTGCCCATCACCTGCCATAAATCAACTAATATGAACGTTAATGAAAATAATGAAATGACAAATAACTTATTCTTACACATATTTGAGAAATTTCACAATACATTTAGTATGTTTTCTGGCTATTTTCATCACCATATAATCACATCACTAAAACCAGATTACTGAACATGCACAATATACTGACACTGAGGAGATTAAACTGTTAAATTTGGAAATCCAGCACATTATAACAAAAATGAAATGTTGGTCAGTTTTTATCTTTTTGACTTAATTTTAGTCTCTTATTTTGAAAATGATATGGCATGCTGATGTGGTCACTGTTACTATCTAATGATATTCATGTCATTCCATCGTTTCTCATCTTTGTTTTGGGGGGAAAAAGCACATTATTGAAAATTGTCACCCCTTATGTTCCTTGATAAAATTTATTTTGCTGTCAAGTAATGCATAAAGACAAAAGTGAATCACAGCTAAAATACTAAAACCACACTTGGGAAATCCCCAACAGGGCAATTCTATAAAAATGCAGATGAAAATACAACATTGTGTGCTAAATAGGTTATGTTATGTTGTTTTGTTTAGTTTTTTTGCAATGTTAAATAAAAAAGCAAGTGTGTCTATGCATTTACATTCCAGTTTTAGTTTTTTTGTTTGTTTTTTGTATTTGGAATCAAGAAAAGGGATTGTGAGCTGGCAAAAATTTTTGGTAAATCAGACCCTAATAATTTAATAATACAGTGCAATATAACCTTTAGCAAATTTCAAGTATTAGTAATAATAATAATAATAATAATAAATTATGAGTGACGCGATGGCACTGTAGGTAGTGCTGTTGTCTCACAGCAAGAAGGTTGCTTGTTCGATCCTCGGCTGGGTCAGTTGGCATTTCTGTGTGAAGTTTGCTTGTTCTTCCCGCGTTCGCGCAAGTTTCCTCCGGGTGCTCCAGTTTCCCCCAATGTCCAAAGACATGTGGTAAAGGTGAATTGGGAAGGCTAAATTGACCGTAGTGTATGGGTGTAAATGGGTGTGTATGGATGTTTCCCAGAGATAAGCTGTAGCTGGAAGGACATCTGCTGCTTAAAAAACGTGCTGGATAAGTGGCGGTTCATGCCGCTATGGCGACCCCAGATTAATAAAGGGACTAGGCTGAAAAGAAAATTAATGAAATTATTACGATTTTTAATACCAAAATCTGTAATATTTAATCAGCCAACACAGATACTGCATCTGATATTTTGTGCATCCCTTCAATATAGGATGAAAACCTTAAATGGGAATTGTAAAAGGTGCCAATGTTCCAGTTGAAAGAGCTAGAGCCCTGAACTAATGATTCAATGTAACACACATTAATGAGCTCAAAGACAGCAGGCATGCTTGGAGAGGGTAGTCTGAACTTGCCTTGGCTTGGAGGCCACAAAGGTTGTGTTAGCCCTGGATAAGAAAGGGAAGGGGTTCAGCGGAGAGATACTTGTGAACTTTAAAACCCTGAATGACAGGAAATGACACCTTGCTCAGATGTGTGGTCACTCACAGATCGCACTGAATGCTAATTTGGTCCTATATTTCCCTTGAGACATCCTAATGAAACGCGAGTTTCGGTGAAGCACAAAGGATATATGCATTGCGTCTATGATAATAGAAATCTTACATTTTAAACACTTTAAATACAGAAAATAGACAAAAATAGATACATTCAGTAATGTCAGAGCATTAAGCAACATGTGTAGCAAACCATAGCGCTGAGCATGCCATCCGTCCCTCCCTTGCCCTGCTGTTGCCATGGCAACCAGTACATGTATTGCCGGCCGGCATTAAACCCTCTTTTTTTCATTAATCCAAGGACAACCGCCAAAAATATTTGTCATTACATCTAATGACTTCTGATTAAAAACAATCAGATAATCTTGCGAAGTCTGTCACTATCTTTAATCATAAAAAATGAGATGCTGCAATCCAGAGGGTGAGCCACACCCACTTATTTAAAAAAAATGTTTAATATTTAAATGAACTATTAGCGTATGAGACAGCTGATAGGTCAGCAGGAAACTCCCATGACAACGCCCCGAATGTTCACATTAATTATGAACAACTCCTCCCAGATCTTTACACCAAAAAAAGACACTGATTAACAAAGAAGAAAAAGGTGAAATAAAGGACAAAAGAGAGAAAGCTGATGTGCTAAACTGAACCCAGATACCTAAGGGTCCGGTAGTGTTGAAAAAGCCGATTTAACAGCAGATTTCAAACCAAAAGACCACAAGTCATCTCAATATGACATGTCAGAGCCTGAAAGAAACATTAAAAGGCTGGAATAAGGCAACCAAACAACTTGTTCTTCTTTCATCACATTCAATAAGAGAGGAAGCATGCTCAAGAAAATCAATACAGAGAGGAAAGACTTGACAATTTGTGATAAGACAACAAAAGCGGGTTGCTTCCTCACAGATCTCTCACATTAAAATGGATCCATGCAATATAAATAGATTTTTTATTATTTTTATGCACAACTAGGGAGAGCTTCAAGTCTTCTCACCACAGCCAAAGCTGAAACCGGTAGAAATGCTAGCATGTTATCAGCACCGCAGAGCCGTACACGTCCACAAGCTCCCAGAGAGAACGCACACCTGCCCTTCAAAGCTTTACAAGCTATTAAAACCGCTCAGCTGCCGTCACAGCCAAAGATCTACACAGAAAACCCAACCAGAATCCTTCATTCAGACTGTCATTAGATGGAAAACCTCTGCTTGTGTTAACTTACCCTTTATGTCTTTGCTTACAGTCCGTTTAATGTTACATCCCTCAAGAGGAAACAAGAAGGGCTCCAAGGATCTGACCTAAAAATCTTGAAAAGCATCTAAATTTGAAGATGTCAATTCAGTCATTCTGAAAATAAACATGCTGTAGATCAGATCCAGAAAGCTTTCATATCCGAGAGCCGGCATGAGTGATCCTGAACCGGTAAACACACAAATGCTGCCTCTCTGTTCAGCAGCACAGCTCATACAAGCGCTCCACCTCCCCCTTGCCTTCGCATTTCTCTCTCTCTCTCTCTCTCTCTCTCTCTCTCTCTCTCTGAGGACACACACAGATGTTGCTATCCACAGGACACACCTCTTTTCAACACCCTGGCCTCTCATAGGACACAAAGAGAATCAGACTCCACCCACTGCTCTTCACTACCTCCTCCTCTTTCTCTCTGCCGCAGCACTGTTTACAGTTTGTTTAGAGAAGAGCTGTGAAATGGACAACCCAGGTGTGTGTGTATGTGTGTGTCTATACACCTACTTAACCATATTTTAGAGACAATTCTGACCCTAAATGTTAGCTAAATCTGACTTTTGAGGACAAATTTCATTAAAATATGTGTTTTTGTAAAACAATAAAAAAAACACAAGGTGATTTATTGTAATTATACAAATAAAATAACCATTTCTGTTCAGTCTACCTGCATTAACCCTTTAACAGGCATCTTAACCACCTGGTTGACCTTTTATCCATAAGTTATCACTATCACTTTATTTGCTAATTACTATTCAGTGTTGTGTCAGCATATTACTCAATACAAGATGTGGGCCAAAAAATATTTTCAAGGAGTGCACCTTAAATGGTTTAAATAAAACACGAAACCCATTAATACTCTTACTTACTTGAATTTTCTTAATTTCTCTTGATTAAAAAGTATGTTTCTTGTAACATCAGGCTGAAATCAAATCTGTTCCTTGAAGCAATCTAATTCTGGCTAAACCTAATTTTAGAAACACAGTTACTTCCTTAAAAAATGCATAAGGTTTCTTTCATGTTGGTATTTAGTTGTAGTATTTATAACCAGCCATATAGAAAAACAATAGACGCCTATGGAATGCCTCCACTTAGATAATGTAAACATCTATGTGTGGCTGTGTGTCTATAAGGGAGGCTGTTTAAAAAAAGTCAGTGAAAGAGTCAGTGCTTTGAGCAAACTGAGCATCATCTTCACTCTTTTGTTCAGAGTGTGTAACTTGATGCATTCAGAGGACTTAAGCTAAAAGAAGAAAAAGTATAGAACTGACAAACCAAGAAAGCCAAAAAAAGGCACACAATCTATTAATCAATCTCTTCTGCAGAAAAGGACCAAAACTAAAGACCACGTTATGCTGTACGTAGGAAAATATATGTATTTATTTATCAAACATATATGTGTTTGTCAAATAAATGACATTATCCCCTCCCCCTGATACCACCTGCCACTGCATTAGAAATTTGCATGCAAATAGGGTTAGAGTTAGGACTGTGACATACTTGGACATTGGACAAAAACATTTATTTAACAATATTCTTTATATACTGTACAGTCAAGCCTGAAAATAATCATAGCCCAGGGGTTGGGCTTGACTGTATATATTTGTGTAAGTGTTTGTGCATTTTATTTGCATTTAAAAAAATTTGCATTGTGGTTTTTACAAAATAGCAAAAGTTGAAAGTTAATGCTGATATATAAGTAAATATGTTTTAAACTGTTCAAAGAATCGGAGATAATAAGATTTTCCTTTAAGAAATTAGTACTTTCATCCAGCAAACTATCAAAGGAAAATATCAAATTGAGATATTTTTTTGACAGATATTGCGATTGTAATTTAATTTGCGATTAGTTTTGAGGTCAAGCTTCGGCTCCATAATCTGCAAGCCGTGGCATCAATTCTGCGACAGCTATTAAAAATGACCTGTTTTTGTTCAGTGTCTGTGACTTTAAAACCAAAATATTCCCATGTTACAAACATGCAGTTTTTCTTTGATAGTAATTCATCTATTATTGCTTCTGAAGCAGCAGACGCCATCATCCCACTTCATGCTTTCCTGTTTGTTTTCTTTTTTCTTTTTGTGGACATTTCACATAGTTTGCGCAATTCTGATTGGGGCAGAATGAAAGTGTGCTCCTTTAATTGGTTAGTAAAGGCTGATTTATACTTCTGCGTCAAACACCGGCGTAGGCTACGGCGCTGAGGCATAGCCCTTCGCCGTGGCCGTCGCCGTCACTGACGTGCACCTCTTAAAAATTGTAACTACACGTCGCAACAACGCGTAGCGCAAGCTCTGTGATTGGTCGGCTTGCTAGCGCTGACGAGTCTGGGCGGGACCGAGAGCCGCGCGAATGGCGCGAGCGATTGTTTACAAGTGTGGAGTCCTGTAAAGGAGCTCCGGATGGAAAGTTTTGTTCTGTGTTTACCTCATGGTTAAAGTTGTTGCACGTCCGCTGGTTCCTGCCTCAAAATGAGCGAGTTTGAGTCACTTGTACATCCAGGAAGTTTTCAGAATAGCAAAACAGAAGCGAAGAAACTCGACACAGAGGAACATTTACACCTCACTGCCCACTAGCATTTCGAAAGTGTTAATGCAGACCAACGGAGACAGCGCGCAGAAGTATAAATGCACAGCTGCGCGCGTTGCCTGCGCCGTGAGTTGCGCCGGTCACTTGACGCAGAAGTATAAACTAGGCTTAAGACTGTCACACACAGACTGCAGTCACACATTTGCTCAAGGGCAGGGTAAATAAAATAAAATAATCGCATAAAAATAATAATAAAATAATCGCAACATTTCAAATCATGATTGTGATTCAATGTTTTATTAATTGCACAGCCCCAGTTTGAACTTTCTATTTATCTTTAAAAAATTAAAGAAAACTTTTTGGTTTGCCAAATAACCCTTTACTTAACAGTCCTTTAAAGAAACAAAAAATATTTTAATAAGTTAAAGCACTTTTCCACTTAAAAGTAAAAATAAGAGTACAATCTAAAGGTTACATGGAAATTAAAGGAACTATTAATGCTAATAAAAAAACTTTTTTTTTTAATAAAATACATTTTAACTTCATGTGCCAACAAAATATTGTCAACACAGAATCAAAAGTTGATGCTGATCAAAATGTTTCATATAATTATTCTGTGTCAGCTTCTTCAGAAAAGTTCTCACCCGTTTGCTTTTGCATTTTGTCTAAACCTCACTATGTGTAGCGTCCATCTCTAACAGGACAAATGGTCCTACTTTGCAGCTTAATACCAAAAGCTTCAACAATTTTCATATTCAAGCAAGCAGTAAATGTGATTACTGGATTAAATAGCAAATTGAGGGAAATCTGATGGTAGGGGGTGTCAAATCTTTTGTTGATGTTTGGCCCAGGAGTCCATGTGACAGCTGCAGACATACTAACTGTGAAGAACAAGGAACAAAACACTGAAGCCACCCTCCCGTGGACCTGAAGGAAAAGCTTGTCTGGAAGTAAACCCACAATCTCTGCTGACCCTTGCTAATAAACTGATGACAGCCTGAACACAGTGGAGCAAGTGTTGTACTTGTCAATCAACTGATTATAAGGCTGTTTGCTGTTCCGGTATGCCCTAGTTTTTTGTTTTCATCGACCCATTTTTACAAAACTTAAAAACACATACCTATGCATTCGATATGCTGGTGGGTTAGCTTAAATGAACACTTGAGGTAGTAATAAAACAATGTATGATGACAGGGCAGATAATATCAGATATTATCTATAACTGCTATCTACCAGCACTCAAAAAAATGATGTCAGCTGTTTGTTCAAACCACTTATTCAAAATGAGGTGATGCAACACAATTCTTGAGTTTTTCTGGAACAACTTATTTGTTGTATGCTCAACTCATTAAAATTTGCCAAAACTACTGAGTTAACTTTTAGCTGCAGTAGGTGATTGTCTTCAGAAACATTTTTGTTGTGCTGGTTGAAAGTCTCTTCACAGTCCAATCGTGATATTTACAGTAAATGGTCTAAATGTGTTCATATGTGCTTTTTATTCGGGGTGAGGCATAAGACTAAATGTTCATCCAATTAAAATTAGTCGGGCAGACAATTCCCATAATTCTGATAAGTAGCCCAAACTGTCTGTCAACAAATGTAGACTTGTACAATTGCGCACCTCTGTTCACGCAGATTCACCATTTGCGCATACACGTGCGCCACAGTCAAGTGGACATGAGTAACAATGGTAAAAGCAAATGCTGACTAAAAACTTTTGAAAATTTTGAATCAATATTGGAGTTAGTTTTGCACACTGGAGTAAGGATGATACCATGGCTGAAGTATTTCTGTTAGACAGGTAATGTTGCTTTAGTCATGCAAAACTGATGTAGATTTAGTTGTTACGAATGGGCTATATGAACAGAAGTGTTGTTCAGCCATTCAAAACTTCCCGCAAAAGATTGATGTGACTATTTTCAATTTCATAAGCCTTTCATAGCATCAATAATGTCGATTTTTAATTTAGTTTAACAACAAAACAGAAGTAAATAATGCTAATCTGCCTAGCTTGCTTTACTGAGCTGGTTTAATATTCACATAGGTTCATTTTTGAACGATGACAATCTGTTACACAGTTCCTATATTGTTTACCACTACTCTGAATACAAACGAGTTAGCAGATCACCTACTGCACCTTTAATTCCTTCATGTTGTCCCAACAAAAATCGATTGTTTGGAATCCAGAATTTTTTACAGTGAGTGTGATAAGGACGTTCAGTGTGTGACATGAACATGTGCTAGATTTAAATCTGCTTTTCAGCAATGGTCAACGCTGAGTCACAGAAAAACATTGCTAATTTCAAGTTGGTTAAAATTTTAAATCCAGCAGCTACTATTTCTCCACTGCAGTAAAGACTAACATGGTGGTGCCCATCAACCCCCCAAAAACTAAGAGCGTACTCACACTATGTACAGCTGTCTTGAACAGAGCCAAAGCCCCCTTGTCCTCCCTGACGGCCCACACTCACATTACATTTGGGCCTGGGCACAATTACGTCAATGATGCTGCGTTGTTCAGTAAGCGCTCTCGCTCAGCACAGTGGAGATTTCTTTAGTTATATTGTTTTAGTCGTTTGGTATGCAGTGACACGCAGTCAAATATTTTGCCGAACAGATCAGCCACTTTTGATGCTCATAAACAACCATAAAGTCATGGTGCTGCAGGATTTAGGAGGTTTGCTGAAGGTGCGCAGCTGTCATGCAGTGAGGGGTTTGCGTCTTTAATAAACTACGACAGTTTGCGTTCACTGAACGGTAAGAA